CCACCCGGCTACAAAAATATTCTAATTGGACCTTTTAATGGTAAACATTAATAATAATCAAGTCTGGGGATATTTAACTAGCTAAAGGATAAAAAGTTCTCGGATCTTCTCATTAGAACTGAACAACGTCTGTCTGGGTTTTGCTATGCAGAATTCTGACAATTTTCAAAGACGCTTCTGACCCCGCCCCCCTTTCCTTACAGATAACAACTGAGCTGAATACTTGAACTCAGTCTAATTTTTTCCCACAGTTTCATCTCTGCTTGTTACTTGAAATCAGATGAGTGGAGCTTAATTTGAAGCCAATAAATTGACTTGAGGTCTGCTAGTGCACAACAGGTGGTTAATAGTTCTTGGTTGCAAAGGAAATTGCCCACAGGGACTGAAGGGATTCAAAAGTGTGGTGTCTGCCAGTGGTGGACGGTGGATGAGTGGGTCTTAACACAGTCTGGGGGCATCTGTACTGTGTGAGTGAGGTAGGAAGGGAACAGACTTGTGAGCCAGGAAGATGAGGCATAGACCCTTGGGTAGCCATTTATACGCTGTGCGATTTAGGGGAAGTTAACTAAACCACTTTATTTTTTAGTTTCATTTTCCAGAAAACTGAGTACCCAAATGCCCACCTGGAATGAAGTTGTGAGGATGGCCAAGTGAAGGCATGTCAAAAGACCCCACGCCACAGTCTGTACTGAACCCCATCCTTTCTCAAGTATGGTAGCTGTCACTCAAAAGCTTAGTAAGAAACTGTAATATCACATCTATCTGCCTCATGTTCCAAACTCCTCACAGCCACGTTCTAGGGTCTCTTCTGGGGGTCACTATGGCAGGTATTATTCTGCACACACGGAAGTTTATTAGAGGCCCTCAAGGTACAGACATTGGGTCATCAACTCCTCTACTCACATTCTTCTCCTTAAAAAGGCTGTGTCCGGGATGGGGCTGTAGCTCAGTGATAGAGCACTTACCACACATGCATAAGGACAAAGGTTCAATCCCCAATGCTACAGAAAACAAGGATTGCCAAGATGGAACTCTCTGCAGAGCCACAGAAAGCCTGGCTCACAGGGGAGGCACCGGCCATCGCCACTCTGCTTCGTGCTGAAGAAACGGTCACACACAGGAAATCAACAAGCTCTTGTTTTCACAAGTGTGCCCGTGGGTTACACACTACAACTTCCCTCTCTCTGAGACTGGATAGCATGGCAAAAAAACAACCAACCCTGATGCAGTCTGTCAACAAGTGTCATGTTATTTTTTCTCAAAGGTTCAGTTCCCCCATGGGGCTCTTTGATGAACACTTGGAAAAACACAGGTGAAATGAACTTCAGACTTCTGAGTGTATAAACATGTCAAGCCACACGTCACATCAAAGCCTATCTTTCCCATGTCGCTGCCGCCCAAGTGCATTTGATACTAAGAGTCTAGGAAGAACTTATGGATCAAGGATTTTGCAGGCGAGAAAATTCTACCCGTTGGCTGGAGTTCTGAATGGTGACCTGGGAAAGTGTTCCAGGTGTTGAGTGCTGGTGTGGAAGCAAGGGCATTTTAGACCCTTCACCTGCAGACCCAGGAACTCTGCACATAAATTCTCTTTTTAAGTTTTTATTTATGGATTTATTTTATTTTATGCATATGAGGGTCTTGCCTGGTGCTCCCAGGGGTAAGAGGGTGCTGGATCCCCTGGAACTAGAGTTAACAATGGTTGTGGGCCACACTGTGGGTGACGGGAATAGAATGTAGGGTCCTCCAAGGACAAGTGCTTTTAACTGCTGAGACATCTTTCCATCCTTCTGCTCACCAACTCTTAACACCAGTCTACAAGGCCTCTTTGCAGAAACGTGTAGAGCACAAAACATGTTTACTGGGCATCTGTTACATGCCAAGCACTGTGTGTGTCAGTACAACATGTAATAGAGAGATCTGGACTCGATCCTTACACATGCCAGCCTATAAAAGATGCCACTGGAAGGGAATGACCTCTGTCCGCTTCCTGTTGTCATTCTTCAGGTCGTCTCCGGCTGGTTCCACTCCTGCTTCAGACCACAGTGCCGGGGTGAGGGTAAGGCTCCATCCAACACCTCCCTCCATTTATCCCAGGGTCTCCCTGGAGTTCTCAGGTACCACTGTCTCCCCTCAGTTCAGGATTCCATGGTCCCTGGTAGTAACTAGACACTGTTTAAATGTACTACAGATTCCTTCAGGAAACTGAACGAAGACCCAAGCATTCCCTCCGCCACAGGCACCAACTGACGAAAACTGGGGACCCCTGTGTGTGCCCTCACTAGGCATTTAGTGTCCCGAGGGACAGATGAACTGTCCATTATTTTTGTTAGAGTGAAAAGACCTACGTTTCGGAGAAGCAAACTGAAGTATTTAGAGAGAAACACTATGTATGTGACATTTACTTCCAATTAATTCCACAAAACCTCAAAATGACGTAACCGTGGTAAAATGGGTATGTTACATATTTGCTTCACGTTTGAAAAGTTTTATAAACAGAAAGTAAAACCAGGGGTCTGAGGAGATTGGCTTACTGGGTGAAAGCCCTTGCTGTTCCCGAATGAAGAGCGGAACTGGAATCCCTGTAAGAACGGGGTGCTCCAGCCCACGAGTCTGCAAGGAGGGGCAGAGGTAGGAGAAGCCTTGGAGGTATAAGGCCCAGATAGCCTTGTACAGGCTGCCAAGACACCACAGAGATCCTGCCTCCAGCGTGGAGGAAGGCAAGGATGAGAGGCTGTCCTCGACCTCCACATGTGCTCTGTGGTTACACATATCTACAGTCACGTGTGTGGGCATGCTTAAGTTCTCTCTCTCTCTCTCTCTCTCTCTCTCTCTCTCTCTCAAAGGAAGTGAACTGAACCCCAGCCTGTATTTGACTCATATCCTTCTTCACCTCTGACCTCTTGACCAACTTCCTTTTCCTTGTCTTCCATTCATTCTGAACTTCCTTCCCCGCTAAAGTTTGCCCTCTACCTCTTGAGGGCATGTTCTCTCACTAAGACCATCGATGCCTCGTGGGCCGGTAAATGTGACGATAGATGCTTCTCAGTCCTTCCCATGGAGCATGGGACTTTCAAGGTCTCTGCTGCCTGATTTCAACTTGGCTTTGTAGATACCTATCTGGTTTCTCTCTCTTGGTTCTCTCCTTTTTTTTAACTTGTTGGCCAATTCTTCCTCCACCATGTGCCTTGTACATGTGGGGTTTGTGCGGAGCTTTGACCCAAATCACCCTTCCCATCTTCTCATTCTGCACTGTAGGTACCTCATCTCCCTGACTTCACTCTCTGCATCCTAACAGGTCCCCAGCTTAGCATTTTCAGTCAACAATCATCTTCCGAGTTTTACTCACATAGGATTCAACTCAGTCAGTGTAGCATCTCTGCACAATGTAGGCTCCATGAAGGGACCACTGTCTCTATTGTGTTCATTATCAAATCCCCAACACTTGTCCTTAGCATGTAAAGAGCACTTATAAATAAATAAATACATTGAGCAAACTCAGAAAACACCACAAGAAGCTGGAGAGGTAGCTCAGTGGTTAAGAGTGTTTGCTGCTCTTCCAGAGGACGCAAGTTTGATTCCCAGCACCCACATACCATTTCATAATTATCTGTAATTGCAGTTTCAGGGGCTCAGACACCCTCTTTTGGCTCTGTGCACAGGGTGCAAAGACAGATATGAAGACGAAACATCCATACGCTTATAAACAAAGAAAGAAAAGAAGGGGGTTGGGGATTTAGCTCAGTGGTAGAGCTCTTGCCTAGCAAGCACAAGGCCCTAGGTTTGGTCCTCAGCTCTGGGGCGGGGGGGGGGGGAAGAAAAAAAGGAAGGCAGGAAGGCAAGAAGGAAGGAAGGAAGGAAGGAAGGAAGGAAGGAAGGAAGGAAGGAAGGAAGGAAGGAAGGAACTGACCCAAGGTAGATCTTACAAAGACTCTACAGTGTAGACCTCCCACCGCTTTGTTCACAATCATATGAGGACTCTCAGATCTCAGAAGTCTGGATGATCCGGAGTTTGAAAGCAGAACGAAAAGTACAATTTGATTTACAATGGGGGGAAGGGCCCAGGAGTTCTCACGATGTCATCATAAATGAAGTACATCACACACACAAGGAAAAGGCAGGTATGTGTCTGTGGTGGAATATTTTTAACAATGTAAAGGTGTGTGACTTTTGTTTATGTTGTGAAATATTACTGTACCAATGTAAAGGTGTGCTGCATTTGTTTAATGATGTGAAGATGAGTTGCTGTGCCTGCCTACGGTACCTGACTGGTCTAATAAAAAGCTGAACATCCAACAGCTAGGCAGTAGAGGGATAGTGGGGGCCGGCGGGAAAGAGAATAAGTAGGAGGGACATAAATCTAGGCTCCAGAGGGAGGAGGGGAGAACGAGGGAGAAAGAGAAGGAGACACGGGGGGACGAGCCAGGCAGACAGCTGTCAGCCAGATGCGGAAGTGGTGGAATGTAGGACACAGAATGACGGAAAGGTAAAAAGGCCGGAGGCGAAACTTAGGTGAAGAGAGAAACAGGTTAATTTACGTCATAAGAGCTGGTGGGAGAAGCCTAAACTAAGGCGGAGCATTCATAATTAATAATGAGTCTCTGGGTCATCATCTAGGGGCTGGCCGTCCGAGAAAGCCTGCCACGTGTGTCAGCCATAAAAAGATAAAAGGGTCCCGGTCTCACCTCCTCTTGCTGTGGCAGGAGCAACTTAAGGGAGGAAGAGTTGAGTCGGCTCACAATTCCAGGTTACAGTCCATCACTGCAGGGAGGTCAGTGCAGCAGGGGCCGGAAGTGACCACTGCAGCAGGGGCCGGAAGTGACC